ATTTTGCAGTTTTTTTTATATACAAAGAGGAGTTTTAGTATTTCAAACGATCTTTTCAAAAGAACTTCTTCTTTAGGTGTGATCTTCGCGACGGAGGTTGGCAATCATCATGGCTATTTTGATCTTAGCTTCTGCCGCTTTAAATAATTCGATTGATGTGCGTCCGTACCATTCCCTCAAGTTACGCCACCATGAGATTCTTCTCCGCTCTACACTACCCTTGCCCTGAATTTTTCCCGGAGGATCTTCAAGATTCTTCTATACATCCACAGTTCAAATGTTTCCAACTTTTTAGTAGTGGACGCATTAAGTGTCCATGCTTCTATCCCGAAAGCAGAGTCGAGAAAATATAACACCTTGTCAGGCTAACTGTCAAGTATAATTTCAGTTCTCTTGCAGAAAGTACCTTTCTCATTTTATTGAAGTTTGTTCACGCTTTCTCTATTCGACTTTTGCATTGAAATCGCCCATAACTACCGTAATTTTCCTGTTTTTGTCATCTTCAGTGCATCTTCAATTTGTTGGTAAGATGTTTCTATTTCATCTTCTGTTGCATTCGTCGTTGGCGCATATACTTAGATCAAATTTAATTTTGTGTGTGATGTCCTTATTTGTGTGATGTCATGCAAAGAAATCTGGATATGAACCAAGACATGTATACATGTTTTATTGATTTTGAAAAATCATTTGACAAGGTACAGCACAATAAACTAATTAATATTTTAAAAATGAAAAACATCGATAGCCGCGACATCAGAGTAATCTCGAACCTCTACTGGAACCAGAAAGTCAAAATAAGAATTGAAAATCAAATGTCGGAAGAAATAGAAATTCTTCGGGGTGTGAGACAGGGCTGTGTATTGTCACCACTGCTGTTTAATATATATATATATAGCGAAGCCATTTTCCAAGAAGCTTTAGGAGAGTGTAACGATGGAATGATAATAAATGGTGAAATTATTAATAATATAAGATATGCCGATGATACTGTCATATTCACTTCAACTCTGCAAAGTCTAACAAACATACTGGAACGGCTGAATGAAAAGTGTACCATATATGGTATTAAAATGAACTTAAAGAAAACAAAATTCATGGTCATTACAAAACATCCAAAAGACAACGAGACACTCCATATTAATAATATCCAGATAGAAAGGGTAGATAAATACAAATATCTAGGAACATTGGTTAGTCAAAACGCAGAACAAACGCAAGAGATTAAAAGCCGTATAGAAATAGCAAGGGCAAAATTTGTAAAAATGAAACATCTATTGTGTAGTAGAGACCTAAGAATGGATCTAAGGATAAGGTTATTGCGCTGCTACATTTTTACAACTTTGCTCTACGGATCTGAGGCATGGACATTGAAACAACTGGAGATTAAGAAATTGGAAGCTTTTGAGCGTTGGTGTTATCGAAGGATGCTACGAATAGCATGGGTAGACAAAATTACCAATATTGAAGTCCTTGATAGGGTTAATAAGAGGGAAGAAATTGTACAGACAATTAAGAGCGGAAACTTGAATATTTCGGTCATATATTAAGAGGTCCTCGTTATGGGCTACTACGTTTGATTATAGAGGGCAAAATAAAAGGTAAAAGAGATGTAGGAAGAAGACGAACCTCCTGGCTACGAAATCTAAGGGAATGGTTTAGTCTGAGCTCTAGCCAACTATTTAGAGCTGCTGTAAGTAAAATAAGAATTGCCATGTTGATATCCAACCTTCGTTAGAAGATGGAACCTTAAGAAGAAGAAGTCCTTATTTGTAGTAGCATCATTCTTTCTAAGGGTGGGACAATACCCTCTATTGACTTGTTGACCTCTGTATCCACAATAATTACTACTCCACGTCTATGCTGGTTGTCAGTGTTACCCGAAATTTTTTGAGTGGTTAGGCCACCTTGTTTCGCTTAAACCTAATATATTTATATTCATTCTTCTCATTTCTTGAAGGTTGTTATGCATTTTACCAGGTTGATACATGATTTTAACGTTTAACGTACCTATTTTTGCTTTTGATAATTTTACTTTGTCTTGTTTCGATGTTTGACAAGGGTTTCGCCGGTTAACGACCTGGGAGTCCTTGTCTGTTCCTCCCCTGCGGGATCTTGGTCTCCGATTCCCATGATCAATATCTTTTTTTCTTTTAATACTTACTACCAGGATGATTGTACTAGAGATATCCAATTGGATATTTAATGTAGTGATTTCTCCTTGCCTTCTGCATCCTTATGTCGTTGACCATTTACTTTATTAATTCGTCTTTGGTGCCAATTTCTTAGCGCCAGGACATAAGACTGCCCTTCCACTTACCAACTCATCCGCCCGAAGCCGTTGGTCAGTAAGTATGGGATGGCTTATACCGGCAATCTCTAGGTGGAATTTTTGCCATATCTGGCTACCCTCACTTAGTTTAGCCTGCAGACCAATGCAGTTTTCAAAGATATATGTTTATCAATTGATTGCTATCAAATGAATGGCACTTTTTCGTTATTTTTGAGCCTTTTATGTTATGTTTGTCTTCTTATCCTATATTAAAGTCTAGAAAATGCATTTAACATGTCCTTTCCTAGTTATTTTTCTTTTTTCTTATACCTAATTATACCCCCACATCACTGTTAAAACTTGATAGGGGTGATTTAAATATTTTGTTTTATTAAATTATAGATTTAGAATCGTACGCTAGCATTACCGATCAGTATAGAGACATTTAGTGTTTATATTTTTTGGTTTTTGACAGGAACAGATTCAACTAGTCTTATACTATAGTATTATTAACGTTTAGGTCAATCTGTCCACTGCAGCTGTTGATTATTATTGTCGCTGATTTGTATTTATGTATATATGTCTATTTGTAATAAATTTATTTTTAATAAATTTTTGTCTTTTATTTTAAAGCACCCAAAAATCCTCTGACTTTACACAGAATCTCAAAAAATAATAGGAGAACAGAAACCGCAGATTCAACAGATTACTCTGAATTTACAGATTCGTTCAAGAATAAATGATTTGAAATATTTTGTATTAGGAGAGCAGAAATTACAAAGGGTTAGTTGGGACTACCCTGATTTTATATACTCATTGAAAAATCGTATTTTGAGAATTATTTTCGAAGTGAAAATCTAAACGTAATACAAACTTATTTTAAAGTAGTATTGTGCCTTATCAAAAACTTATAATTGTGGCTTGGGTAAAACACAAGGAGAAAACAGTTACAGAACACTTAAGTGAGAACACAGTAAGTAGCAGATCACTTGAGAATTTCGAGGATCTTTAACATTTCGTAGTATCATTAACAACTGTTACACTGTCTAGATATCAACAATTTTACTATAACCGCTTCCTTTGATTAAAATCTAAAGAATGTGTCTGGATGAAAACTTACAATTCATCACTTATTTAAAATCGCGCAACACTGTATGGCTTGGTGTCCTGTATAAATTTTATGATTTGGATGAGAAGCTAACATCACACTGTCGTTGAAAATGTTTCAATACTCTTAGCAAAAAATTACCTAGGACTGACCAATTTATGGAAATGACTGACCTGGAGATAAATTTTTACTTTTATCAGGCGGTGACTTAGAAAACGCGGGAACCTACTGTTTAATTGGTATTTTTTTAAAATTTATTACATCAAGGAACTGCAATCCTGGTATTTTTATGATGTTTAATAGAATACGCGTGCGTGCTATGGTTATTGCAACTTTATTATTTTCACTGCAAAAACAAACTGAATAAATGTTTAATATTATATGAAAACATTTGTCTGCGTTTTAATTTCTAACGAATGCAGTCATTTGTTTTATAATATATTTCTGTCAAAAAGGACCAAACTACAAAACCAAATTACCAAAACAGACAGTATAATTATTATTTTTATGAAATTCGAGTAATGACGTGCCAATATCCCAGACCCCAGAGTTTACTCTGATCTCACAGAGAATCTTTTAAAAGTTATAATCGCCAGTCACGCCTTGAGATATTACTGGAAAATACTCAATTTTTGGGATTTTATAAGTAGGTATAGAAGGGAAATAAGAAGACATAATATACTATTGTTTTATATAATTATTTATTAATTATTGTTATTAAAAAATCATTCATCTGAATTAATATGGCCCATTTCTCCTACAAACATCGTTTCAAATAGAATATCTTCAATTTAATTGTGTACTTCTATGATGTATCATATCTGTAACTGTAAACACAACAGAATGTTATTTTTTGATAATATATACAGATAAAGCAGTTTTAATCAATATTAATTGTATTAAATAAAGTTTTTGGTTGAGTTTACCGAAAGTACAAGCTGATTATAGCCGCAAGGCGCAAATGTCAAACATGGAACAACAAATTTTGGTATAGCAGTGTTGGCATGTTTTTAGAATGTAGATGTTGTATACTTCAAATATAAAAAAGACAAAGCTTTAGAAAAGTACATTTTGTTTATATTGTGTTATGAATTCTTCAATTTTTGATTTATATAAAACAACCATGAGTAAGTATTTGTTTCTTTGGAGATTAATGACAGGTAAGTATTAGAAATTTTTTTAGCAATTACCCTTTGATAGATTAGGGGATAGATTTGGCAATCGTCAAATCAGCAGTTGCCAGATTATAAAAGATGTTTGAAATTAATCCCGAAAGAGACAAATATCTGCTCGTTATTACTTCATGTATAATAAAAATTGCAGAATTCATAAAATACTATAATCAAAATGTACTTTTTAAAAGCTTTATCTCTTTATATTTGAAGCATTCAACATATGCATTATAAAAACCTGCCAACACTGTCAAACTCAAATATTTGTGACATTTGCGGCTATATTCACCTTGTACTTTCGGTAAACTCAACCAAATTTTTTATTACAAACGATGTGGAAATATCGAAAACGAATTAAAATTGATTACCCACAATCGATTATTTGTAGGTATTTTAGATTTGCAATATTGGCACTCCCTAATTTTTTGACAGTTGAGACAGGTCTGACATTGACAATCACTGTTGTTGTCTTTCATTAAACTAAATTTTGTAAGAAAAAATGAGTAGTTTAATAAAGACATTAAAACCCCCTAATTCATGGTTAAAAACCAACCCAATCTTATTTGCAGCCGTCAGAAATCGTAAGTTCGAGTTACATTGAGATATTCACGTTATAAAGGTTATGTTATGTAATTTTAGACTGGAATAAGGATTATAAACCTGGTCCATACCCTAAAACCGAAGAAGAAAGAAGAGCTGCAGCCGAAAAATACGGTTTACATCCTTCAGAGTACGAACCGTATCCAGATGATGGTACAGGCAACGGAGATTATCCCAAATTGCCTATGCAATCTATAGAATCTAGAGATCCATTTTACCCATGGGATAATCCTGAATTGAAGAGGAATTTCGGTGAAACAGTAAGTCCTTTTATCGATAATCAAACAATTTGCACTTAAAAGAAACTGTCTTGATTCATCAATATATTGATTCCTATTATTTTTAGTTCCATGCAGAGTATGATTTACTGAGAGAAGACAGGTATGATGTTAGTGCCAAACTAAGAAAGCCATTGTGGTATCAGTGGGCTCAATTTTTAGGAGTCATGTTTGGCACCTTTGGAGTTTACTATCTTTTGGAAAATGTAAGAATGTTCCATGCTGCTGTACCCAGGCAGTATCCCAAAGATGGAAAGGTGCATTATACCTTCGAGCCAGCTGAATAGATGATGTATTTAATTTGTTTTAATAGATATTTGTAAATATGAATAAAATATTTGTAAAATTGACAGAACTGTTAATTTATCATATGTCAGTCAGGGTAATTGGAAACACTATTTGAAATTTCGTGTCTAAACATTTAAAATTTAAAAATATACTGTTTCATATTTCAATAAAATAAAAGCTTTTGGCTATTATACGAAAAGTTTACAGTAGAATGTCTTAAAAGCTAGTAAGAAAAGGTCACAAAAAAGAAGGTATCTAATGTTTCCATTTACTCCACAAATCTTAAGAAAAAAAACTAAAAAAAGGGGTAAATGTAAACAAAGATCTGTTCTGTTAAACATAATCTAAATGAAAATGGCGTAAAATGATACATTGGTTCATAATCTAAAAATCGTGCAAGTTGGTTCCATTAAATACGCCAATGTTTCCAATTACCCCTGAATATATCAAATGTGCTAAGGAAACTTAAAAAAAAATATCAGAATAAAATACCTAGGTATAACAAATGAATTTTTAAAACTATAAATATTCACTTGTTTACTGACATTCAATAATATCTAACTTATTAGGAAACTTGTAAAACATTCTTTCACCTTTCATAATAATATTTGGCTCAGGGGCTATACCAATAATTTGTTGGAAGTTGATGAAACTAATGTCAGTTTCCTGTATGGCAAATTGCTTGCACGTACCATTCATACAGTTTAGGGCTATAACCTTAATTTTATTTTCATCCCAATCAATATCTTTGATCATACAAAGATATCTGTACGATGTTGTCAGCCTTTTAGCACTCTTGAATTCTGCTATGGATGATGATGGTTCAGCTTCATTTATTAATATTTTGTTAATAAATTCACTAGTATTTTCCTTATTCCCATCTAAAGTATTTTACAGGATATTATATTACATGTTTTATAGGATACACACCAGTAGTCTCAAAACCAGATATAATATTTTGTGAGAGCTAGCCTCCTGCCAAGTTTCACTTAGAAGTTCTACAAATTTATCTTTAGATAAACACCCAGTACCTTCCCCCATTCTCTTCGTTCCATTTGCTACTGACTTTCGATCCCATGTATATTTAGCTGATTTGAACACACACTTATCAAGTGGTTGTAATTTGTCCTTTAACTGACTGAGAAACTTAATAAGGTCAATGTTATGTTTTAATGCTTGTTCAATTATTCGAATACTTATATGACTTCGGTGGCCATCATATAAGAGTACAGCTTTTTGATTTGGTAAATTCTGTATCTTTCGAATTATTTGCACATGTGGTAGAAATCCATTAAGAAACCAATAGGAAAATAATTGATCTTCCTCCATCTAACCATTCTTGCTAGAAGCGTAAAGAGTTCCATATAGCCTCTGGTGATACCCATCTTGCTTGGACAGCAAAAACGATGAGCGGTGATAAATATTTTTCATCTGCTGAAACACATGGGAACACTGTCGTGGACTCCAGTCCAGAACCACCACACACTCTGCATCAAGGCTTACCCTTTTATCATATAGCTCTAATTATGTAAGGATCACTTTTAAATCCACTCCCGTCAGCATTAAATAATGTTAAAAAAAACTACAAATAATAGATTAGTTTATTTAAATTTAAACAAAATGCATCCAGAGGATTATTTTTATGACCGGTCTAGTAGACCGTGTGCGACTACTGATACACAAAATTAGACAGCGCCTACTGAAAGGTTAAACCCTTTAACACGTTTCTTGCCGATAACGCGCTGGCGCGTCGCTACAAGACTTCAGTTAGACGCTCTCGCGCGTTCAGACTTTATTGATTATGATCTTGGATTATTTCACTGGCGCTAAAACAGTGCCTTTTATATTTCAAAGGCAGATAACTAGGGGTATCAATTCTCCAATTTTGTTTTGGGTTCTCCTACTAACGACTTTTTGTCCCGACAGAGTGTCTAGATATATTTTGGCTTTGCAATAATTGTAAATATTAGTAACTATTATTGTACGTTTGGAATGTTCCACGATTAATTTTCGCAAGAAACTCCTGGTTCGAAAAAATACAAAATTAAATTTCTATTACAAAAATTACTTTTGTATTAAAATACACAAAATACATTTAATGTGAATTTAAAAAGTTTTATTTAATTCAGTTTACTTCGGTCGGTGGTACAAATTCGATTAACTAACCCTAACTATTGAAAATATTCTTTTAATATACGATACGATATTTGATATTCGATACCCCACATTCTCAGACGAAAGTCATTAAGATTAATTGCTTTCACAAGCTCTTAAGCTGGGAGACCATACACTGATTACAAGGGGATTTTTAAAATAAATGTTAAGTATTTACCTCAACAGTAACAGTACTGCAACTGCCTATTATTTTATCGGATTAGTAACTGTGTAAAGATTAATAATTTCCAGATTTCGATATTTCTCCTATTTTTTAGATTACTGAAACATAAAGTTTGGTAATACTCGGATATTTTCAGTGTTTCCCCTAAATATGATTTGGATTCTTTTATATCTCGTTTGCGTTTGGTTAGTTTATATTTGAATGTCATAGGGTGTGCATATTAAAGTGTAAAAATGAATAAAAATAATATACCAAGTGGCTCAAATTCAAATAAAAAAATTAAGTTAGATATGAAAAAAAATTATGATATGAAGAATTGTTAAAATGATTGAAGACTTTTATGACTTTCTTTATTCAGTTAGTGAGTATATACCAAAATCTGAGGATAAAATTGAAAATAACTTACCTGCAGCACTTAGTAAGGATACGGAGTTATAAAATTAGATGCAAATATTAATTTTTTAATAAAATATATTTAATTGTAGACTAAGCTACTTATTGAAGTTGATGGAAGCGATAAATGGGAAGAAAATTTTGATGGTATGAAAAATTTCTCTTTTTTAAATCACCAGGAGTTACTAATATAAGTTTCCGGTAATAATCCAGTTCACTTTTTCGAATGCTACTTACAGATGAACGTTTGCAGCAAATATGTGATGAGACCAACAGGTATGCCGAGTACGTTTTCTTGTTTAATGCAGAGACGATACATTCTAGAATTTTCGATTGGAAAATTTTGACTCCCGAAGAACTGCTAGTCGTTTTAGGATTGATTTTACAAATTGGTCACATTTCATTACCTGGGATTGAGGATTATTGGAAAAATAAAGATACTTTTTTGCTAATCACCTTAGCACTTTATAATTTTTTGTCCACTTTTATGGGCCGGAACAGATTTATAGTCATACTGCGTTGTTTGCATTTAAGTAAAAATCCAGAAGAGAAAAAAGAAGTACCTGAAGACAGAATATGTAAAATTTAAATAAATTGCAAAGTTTACCCCAAAATTTTTTTGTGCAATCTATTTTTTTATTGTTTAAACAAATTATTATAAAAAAATTATTGTTTGACCATATATTTTCACTTTGAACAGTGTTTTTTTAGTTATATGTTAAATCTTACCTGTATAGTAGACATTAGTAAAAAAATAGCAGTCAAAAATCCGACATGTAAACCTTAGTTTTGTTTTATATATCTATATTTTATGTTATTTTGTATTAGTAAATAAAAGTTCCTATTACAACTAATTTTTATCAATATTATCAGTGGCGCTCTGGCGCGTTCACCACCAACCCTTATTGTATATACAGTGAAACTTGGATAATTCGAATCTCAGGGGACTGTTAAAAAAATTCGAATTATCCAAATATTCGTATTAAAAATATATCTACAAAAAACAGTGATACCTATAAAATCTTCTGCAAACGATAAAAATATTTTGCATACTTTTGCAGATGTTTTCGTTCTTATTCTTGCCCGAATTTCGTCAACCGAAAAAAATGGACAAACAAAATTCGGCCAAGAATACCAATTAAAACATTTGCAAGCTATAAAAATGCCCAATTATTGTCAATATGACAGGTGTTCATTGGTATTTTCGGCCAATCTTCCATCAATATGTTTTCAACCAAAAAACGTCTGTTAGAATTTTTAAGATTTTTTATGACGCCCATGTCCATAGGCTGGAGAAGTGGTGAAGTCATGTTATCAGGAAAAAAAAATTCCATTTACATTTATATTTTCCATTAGTGGAATAGTGTTATAGGCCGTACAGTTGCCAATAAACAAACTAACTTTTTTTTTCTTTTATGAATATTTTGTCTAATTTTACCAGCCATTTCTCGAAAAGATCCCTAGCCATCCAAGCTCTTGCGCTGCTCACATATTCCACTTGTTTTGACTTGACGTTCTTAAAACAACGCGGATTAGCCGACCTAACAATCATCAGCAGAGGCAGCACTTCTGATCCGTTCATTTTTGCACCAATTAGCAGAGTGACACTTTCTTTGCTTAGTTTTCCTCCGTGACATTGATTTCAAATGCCAGTGTTTGGGCAGGAGTGTCTCGTCAACATTAAAGATTTCTCTTTCATCTATATCCTGAATCATCTTCTCTAATTTGTTTCCATTTGTTGGCTTTGATTAACGGCTCCACTTTCTCCAAAACTGGATTTGAATGAAATTTTGGTGCATTATTTGAAGCCATCTAGCCACCCTGTACTCGCCTTAAAGTTGTTTTTTTCCATTTTAACAACAAATTTTTTAACTTTGCCTCATATAAGGGGACCACTCACGGGAATTTCCTTATCCCTGGCTTGTTTGAACCATTTTAAAACACATTTGAATTTTCTGGCTTCCTTAACCATTTTCGTTCTTTAAGGTAAAAAAGTAGGTGTAAATTACCATGTGTTAGGAGGAATTCCAAATTTCTTGGCAGTTTTAGATTTTTTTTTCGTCCCATTTTCTACTTCTTTAATTGCCGCCATTTTTCCGATAACGTTTTGTATGTTCGAAGTTTACTGAAGGGTGAGGAGAATTTATGGCCAGTACAATGCACAATGGTCTTGAATGCCTTGAAACAAGTGGCGCGTGAGGATAGGAAAGAATACTACATCTTTTCACGGAAATTTCCAGCATGAAATTGGTATTTTGGCTTGTAGAGAACTTCGAATTATCCAAAATTTAATTCGTATTATTCAAGACTTTTTATCATTACTTATAT